TTGAGACTTCCTCGGAAGGTATCTTCTGGAATAGCTTTTTCCAAAATATGCTTGCAGTGTAGATGTACCCTAAGAAAGCTTTATACCAATATAACTGCCCACAGTAGGAACTGTACCAAAATAGGTAAATCAAAAACTGTGTTTAGACCAGGCCTAAAATCACTACAAGTCTGTGCATAGACAAGGCCTTACCTACATTATGCCTTGTCTACACTTAAAAAAAAAAGGTCTGCTGTCATAGTTACTGTTAAAACTGTCCTAGAGTAGACAATTATTCTGGCATAAAAACATTTCTGCTAGCATACTTCACACCATTTCCCTAAAAGAGTGATTCTCAACATTAATACGCATACCCCTGGGGGTACATATACAAAGGTCTTCTGGGAACACGTCAACTAATCTAGTGATTTGCTTACTTTTACAACAGGCTACATAAAAAGCACTAGCAAAGTCAGTCCAAACTAAAATTTCATACAATGATTTGTTTATATTGAGCTATTTATTATACACTGAAATGTAAGTATAATATTCATAGATAATTTGGAATATAATCATGATATGGTAAAAATGGGAATGTAAGAAATTCATCAGCATCAGCAATTCTTCAGCGTGCTGTGACCAACTTCTGTATTGTATGTCTGATTTTGTAAGCAAGTATGTTTTTAAAGTGAATCAAGGAGTATGCAAGACAAATCAGATTCCTGAAAAGGTTAAAGTAGTCTGGAAAGGTTGAGAGCCTTTGCCTTAAAAGATCAAGCTATACCAGCAAAAATCACTTCTATGCCAGTATAAATGCACCTTCACTGGTCTTTGAATCATGATCAGTGGAACTGAAATCAGGGCACCCAGGGAGAATTGATGGGGCAGCAGGAAAACAGGGAACATAGGGAGTTAGAGTGGAAGCAATGCAATCCCACAGAGCAGTACATAGGGTTTAAAAGTTCACTTGTTCAATTTAATTGGCATTCAGCTTCACACTTTGCAAATGTAACAAGGCTTACATCAACATAGCTCTCGGGGTAGAAAATTTACCCCATAATCAATATAGTTACGCTGTTATCAATTTTAAATGTGATTGAGGCCATACAGAAGCATTGTGAGGATTACATACTTCATGTCTGTAAAGCACATTGTTCGTGCACAACACCCATATAAATGTTAAGAATTTATTGTTTTTATCAGCAGCCAGATTATGCTGAACTGATCCAAGGGTGTGTAATGGCAGAGCATGGGAGTGTGCACGGCCCCTCAATGTCTAGCACAGGAGTTGTGTACAATTACATTATCCAGACTATGGCAGGGGCTGCTCCTTTCACATGTTACATGACATACAGCTCTCAGCAAACGAAGCAAGGAGCAGTGATCAGGGTCTGCACAGCTGATCAGACATACTGAGAGAGAGTTTGTGCACTGGAGCCACTCACCTCAGGTAAGTGCCTCATAGGGGCTCACTTTTGTCAGCTCTCAGCTTTGCAGTCTCTTTCCTCCCTCCCCCCAGGTAAAATTTCAGTGACTCAGCTCCCTGGCCAAGTCGCGCACAGTCCATGTATGATCTACAGACTCCTTCAAGGATGCCACATTCAGGAAGGGGTCTGTGTATGCCAATTCCCAGTGCCTGTTCTGGAATGGAGCAGTGCCCCTGGGCTTCACTCCTGGAGACTAATCAGTTGATTAGGGCCTATCCTAATAGCTGATGCCTTTCTCTGCAGCTCTGAGCCTCCATGGGCTGTCTTTTATCAGGGCACTCAGCTACTTCACCTGTAGCAGGAGGGGGGAACCAGGCCCACTCTCTCTACCAGGTCCCAATGCTGAGACCCTGTAAATAGCAGCAACTTTCTGCTTTCCTTCTTCAAATTTGTTCTTGATGCTGTTCCCTGGACCTCCTCCCTGAAGTCCCAGCACACTCAGCTGCCCCTTTACCTTGGGCTGAAGTCTTGAGTCCCAGCAGCCAGCCAGGAGCTCCTTCCTTGCTCTCCCTGTCCCTGCCAGCACCTGCTGTCTTCTCCAGCAGACAGGAGTACCTCCCACACTCCTCTAAGCAGTAGTCACCAAGCAACTGAATCTACTCCGTCCAGCAGCAATTTTTATATAGGAGCCTGGAGGACTTGATTGGCTGCTCCCTACAACCCCTCTCTAAGTGGCTGCTTCTCATGCTTCCTCTCTAGGAAGGCTGGAAGACTCATCTATTTGCTTTTTTCCTGGGGCTGAGTAGGACTGTGAGGCCTCCACTGGGACGTTTTGGGCCTAATACACTCCATTGCAGTTTAGCAAACCCCACAAAGTAGAGCATCATAGAAGGCAGGCTGTCCCTGTGCACTAGAGGTTCTTCTGAGGCAGAATTTCTCCAAGAGTTTACTCTGTGAATCAATTCCTCTCATTGGGCTGTGCTGACAAGGCACATCTTAGGCCTATGTTATTATTTCTGCTTCTGACACTATTTGGAAGACATCTTGGTTCCATGTGAACTAGCAAGTACTGATGAGCAGATAAGAGTGAATGGATCTGAATGAAAATAGATTTCTGACACACAAATCAGGCTCACACCAGAATGGAATTCATAAATTGCACTGAACGCGTACTGCATTTAATGACCAGAGTAAGAGCATAAAATATGCCATTTGGGAATAATAACCACATGTGGTAGGCATGAAGGCACAGAGCCCAGATTTTTTTAATGTAGTTTTATATTTTGAAAAAGGATTAAAAAACACTTGAAAATGCAAGATAAATGCAACAGTTGTTTCTACAAGTTTCAATCTTGTATTGCCTGGCCATTTTGACATATAAATTATTGCTTACTAGCTCTCATAAATACACAATACAATATGTACAAGCATGAAATATGAAAAAGAAAACATTGGAAACAGTGGAAATTTTTGGTAAATCAGACTAGTTCATACATACCGGTTCTCGTAATGGTGGATAACTACTAGCTGTAGTCCCTGAGAAGACAGGTAAATACCTTGATTTGGGGTTTTCCACTATTTTATTGTTAATACAGGCTGACAGCATTATGGCACTCCAGTTAAAGAGAACATAACAGGCAAGTGTTCTGACCTCAGTTCACAGACTTCATCCCAGTATTTCTTAACAGTGTAATAAGAATACAATAAATAAACTATGCAAATAAATATTATTACTGTGCTAAAAAGTTTAGTATTTACAGAATTATTTGTCTTTTTCCCCAGCATAACTATTTTAACTTGGTTTTGGCATCATGTAATGCTTTTTTTCCCTTGCCATCCAAGTACAACTTGTTAACTATCTAGAATTGGGCTGAAATCTGAAGCACTCACCATAGAATATCTAGATGTACATTGCCAAAATCTGCTCTTCCCTGGTGGTTTTATCTAATAATGGCTGTGGGCTACACACACACACACTCACACTCTCTCTCTCTCTCTAATCTGGTGTGTGACTGTGATTGGCTAAGATATAAGATTTTCAGTAAGTATCCTAAAATGGCATAACAGTGCTATTATTTGAGGGGATAGGGATTAACGTTCACAGAATTGCCAGATCTAAAAACTGGGGAATGGGTGCAGACATACAAAATGGGAAAAAGCTTAGGAAGGAGTACTGTGGAAAGGGATCTGGGTGTGATAGTGTACCACTAGCTAAATATGAGTCAACAGTGTAACACAGATGCAAAAAAGAAATCATCATTCTGTGATGTATTAGCAGGAATTTTGTAAGCAAGACATGAGAAGTAATTCTTCTGCTCTATAGTACCGTGTCAAGTTCTGAGCACCACAGTTTAGGAAAGATGTGTACAAATTGGGTAATCCCAGAGAACACCAAAAATTATTAAAAGTCTAGAAAACCTGGTCTATAAGGGAAAACTAAAATAATTTTGTTTGTTGTGTCTAGAGAAGAGAAGACAGAGGGGGACATGGTAACTGTTTTCAAGTACATAAAAGTTTGTTGTTAGGAGATGGGAGAAATATTTTTCTTAGCCTCCAATGATAGGACAAGAAGCAATGGACAAATTGCAGCAAGAGAGGTTTAGGTTGGACATTAGGAAAAAGTTGCTGTCAGGGTGGTTAAGCACTGGAATAAATTGCCTAGGGAAGTTGTGGAATCTCCATCATTGAAGATTTTTTAAGAGCAGATAAACACCTGTCAGGAATGGTCTAGATAATACTTAGTTCTGCTATGAATGCAGGGACTGGACTAGCTGACCTCTCAAGATCCCTTCCAGTCATACAATTCTATGATACTCCCCTTCTAGAAAAAGTTTCTAGTAAATAAAGGCCTATGGGGCTCCGTTTCATAGTGTTCTTTTTTTTAATCCTCACAACCATCTTTCCTTTGATGCTTGCCAGTCTCCAGGAAGGTTCCACTACAAAATGGGCACTCTGCAGGACTTTATTTGCCAGAAACTTTTGCTGAAGATTCAGGGTTGTTGCCTTCCTATTAATACTGTGGGTACAAGATGAATATTCTCTGCACAGAGTGGATACATTAAATACACTTTGCCTTTCAGAACTCAAGATGTATTAAGATAATAAAGACTACTATGTAAACCGCTGAAGTTTGTAGCACGTCATATAAAATTACATAGCATGACAATGTTTAGAATTTGGCATTTAGTTGACAGATTTTTTAGTTTGACTGCAAACCTGAGCACAGAGAGAAGGATCATTCCTGCCTTTCCATCACCCACACAGATATTTTACTAGCAGAGAGGTATAAACTACTTCTACCAAAGCTACAGTAGAGCAAAAGACAGGTTCTAAAATCTTTACTCATACTGAGTTGTATTTTACTGTGTACTTGCCCTGCTCATTTCAAGTATAGCATTGCTCACTGAATTAGGATACTGAATCAAGTCTACAGTGAAGTTCATTATAGTAATGCCACAATTAAAAGCTCTCAACAAGGGGGAAAAAAAAATCAAGAACCAGTGATTGGCTTAGTTAATGAATCCAAGGAGGGGACTCAAAAATTTCAGTGAAAGTCAGAATTACAACAACAACAACAACAACAAAAACACATTATTTGTGATTTATGTTTTTATACTGTAAAAATTAGTTCACTACAGCTAGTGTCCTGACTTGAACAGTTTTGGTCAGTTTGCACAAAACAGATATTTACAATACGTGCACGCAATCTACAGCAGAACATAGGAATTTTTTACTCCATGGCCAGCAAGAGTTTATTTTTCTTCTTTTTACTGAGTAAAAAGATTTCTTTTTAAAAAAGAAAATTCATATTGTATTTGATAATACCAAAGTACAAGCAAATACATTTCTGAAACATTTGTTTCCTTTACATTACTGTACAATGTTTCACAGATGGGGAAAACTGAATACATTTGTTGGATTCCCCCTCCCTCCCAACTTCTGAAACTACTTGTTAAAACTTCTTTTTTCCATCCCTTTAAATCACAGATCACAATATGATGAAGAACATGCTATTTCAGTCACTCTGGTGGACCCAAATGGCAACAAAGGAGCATTTTCATGGAAGTCTTTCTTGTGTGTTAAACACATATACAGGCAGGCGCCTTCACTGTCATTGCAAAGAAGCTTTTTTTATAAGGCCCATTATAATAAATTTTATTTACCATGAAGCACATTACATCAGATATAGCATATACTAGATTATTTCAGGGTTTTCCTTAACCCTGAAAAACAACATTATGATGAAGGGGTTCTGCAGACATGTATACATCATGAACGTGACTTTAGAAACATACTCCTTAATGCCAATGAGTATCAACTTGATTTGTACAAATGAAAATTGGGGAGGGGTGGTAGAAGAGAAGTATTAGAAGGAAATAATGTAGAAAGCTTATTCAGGTTTCATACATGTGGGTAATGAGAACCTGTAATACATGAATTATGCTAAAAATTTTTCTCAATACTAAAAGCATATGCTCAGCAAGTTAGTTTTCACTTTCTACAACAGGATATTTGCTGTTCTTTTTTAAAGTAGTAGGATGACCTTTCAGTAGGTGAGCAGGAGACTATAGTCCAAGAAGTAAAGCACTGAACTCCCTTTTTTATAACCAATAGCATATGAACTGCAGAAGTTAGTGACAAAGCTAGGCTAACTGGAGGGGGAGTACATAATAGAGGTTTTTAACCTGTACATTTTAGGTAGGCAAAAAACAACTCTCACTGAATTGCAGTCTATCCTTTCAGTCTCGCAAAAGAAGAAATGTGTATTTGTTTCCATAATCTGAGTCAGGATTAGACTGATCTTTTTACTGCCTGCTATGAATCAATTTCTTAAGAGGAAGTGAAATTAGGAGCATTTCAAGTATCAACTACTGTTGGCTTGACCACCAGTCAGGACACACAACTGCATTAACACGCAACACTGTCTTTAATTTTTATCTTTCTATTCTGAGACATTTGCTGTTTTCTCCCATAAGACACTCCCCTGGAGTCAGAGCGTTAATGTGGGTTGCACAGTTTCTGGTTTTTTGTTTTTTGGCAACAATCAATACTTTGGCAGCCTCAGATTAGTGAGGTACATATTGTATGGTGAATTGTGAACCCCCATGTCACATCCTGTTGCTTGCTGGTATGTTTTGTTATGGTGACATGATGCTTCCTTTCCTTCTAATACTGGCAGAGTCTGGATTGAAAGCTACACTGGAGCACTAAGATGTTCACATAAACCAAGCTTTTTAGCTTAAAAAATGCTGCTCCTCTCCTTCATTTTCTGATGATCAATGGAAATGATACTATCCTTGCCCTGAAATGCTGTAAACAGCTCCTTTTCTTGCTTTGCTTGATTTTGTGTGTGTGTGTGTGTGTGTGTGTGTGTGTGTGTGTGTGTGTGTGTGTGACTACTGATAAAACTCAGTAAACTGTTCTCATATAGGGAAGCAACATGCTTGGCATAAACATTCACTTAATTAAAAGTGTTGCAGTTTCAAAGTTACATGAAGCTCTGGGCGTTCACGCTCGAGGCTCTATCCGGTGAGAAAGCTCAAACAGCATTTGCTGGTTGTCAATGACGTGCAGGTGATAGACATGTGGTTTCAGCTCTTGATTCTCTTTTGGAGGAACTTCACTGCCTAAAGTTTGAGAGAAGAAAAGGAATTAAATCTGAGAACAGTTTTCTGATTGATTTGACATTTTTCCAAATGGGAGTCAAACTTGCCACTAAAAACGGCAAGTGCAGCATATGAAGGTCCAAGGCATCTGCAGAGGACTTGATGCTCAACTGAGAAGATCCTTATCCTCAAAGGGAGTGAAAGGGAAGAAAGTTCTAACCCCAGGAGACACAGTGCTCTGAAACTGCAGCTGGTTTTTGTCTGCTTGCTTCCTTGTCTGCATGCTAGTGACACCAAGAGGAGCGGGGAGTGGGTAGCATACAGCTGGATTTCCTAATGTTGGAAGTATGCTCAGCAATCCCTCTGAGGCTGATTTAAGGGTATTTAATGCTAGTCTGTCAGCACAAACAAACCTTGGCACAGGCTGAGGATCTGGCCCTTACTGTTTAAACAGCTATAGCACAAATGTGGCATAGCAAGTGGATCTCTGAACCACTTCCTTCACATCAGGTGAAATGTGACAATGCAGAATAGACAAAGGACAACTCTTCAAATATTTTTCATATATCAGCTATGCCTTTGATTTCAGTGAGGTGGTAGAAACAAGGGACATATTACAGCTGTTCCCCGAGTTACGACCACCTCCACTTTCGACCATCCGCACTTATGACCAAAGTGGTCGTAAATGCAGATCCGAGTTACGAACGGCGATCCGCGCTTATGAACAGTGCGGTCGCCAAGTAAAGCTATGGGATCCGAGTTACGAACACTTCAAGTTACGGACCAAGTGTTGGTCCATAACTTGTTCATAACTCGGAGAGCAGCGGTATTTCACAGGAGTTCCCACAGTAGAGTGGCTGTAACCATGTGTCAGAGGAAAACCAAACAGTGAAAAGACAACTCATATGGTAACAAAATTACCATTAAAAATCCTGGAACCAATAAGCTTCTTATCACTGCTCTCTTAGCTGCTTTTGTTTAATCAATCTCTATCTATACTTTATCCATTAAGAATGTAAATTCTTTGGGGGCACTAATGTTGTTCTCATATTTGTCTATAAAGTGATGAGCACAAAGTTAGCATAGTGTAAATAGTAACATGACATTGTGAGTTCAACCAGTTCTGTATGCCATTATAACAGACATGACTATGCAGCACCTGTCCACACAAGATTCACAAGCACCTGGGTGATTTGTAAAACATGGCAGCAAAAATGAACAAGAGATAGATACAGTGGTGTAGGAAGTTATAGGGAACTTTATAGCTCTCAGGAAGACAGCTATAAGGTTCCATGTTTTCAGGAACTGTGTAAAAACACTGAAAATTATTCAGAATTCAGCACTTCATTAGCACCTGAAATTACAAAGGGCTGAATTAGTATACAAATGCTAAAGTTGCTATGCCAGATTTCTGAAGGACTCCTTTTGTTTTCTGGATTAAATATGGAAAAATATTATTTCCATTAGAATCGCATTTCAGTATTACTTATCTACACAATTTTCTAACACATACAATTTTTGGTCTGTAAACTTCATTTGTAAGATAGAGTTATAAGCAACAACATTATCTTTTGCTTAGTTTTATTTGAATTCTGTTCTGTGGTAACATTCCTGAAAGCTAAATATATCCATTGAAAAAGGAAGTAGTCAATAAAATCTTAATAAATATCCAATGAATTCATTTTATGCTAAATGAATTTAACAGAAACCAGTGCTTACAGGAATAGCTGCATAAACTGTTTTTTTAAATACCAGCTTCATAATAAGGCCAAGTTTGTGATAAAATAAAACATACCCCAAATCAGCAGATTATGTGACAAATCTTTGGCATTAAACCTGGATTTATGCCAAGACACAAATATTTACAAAAAAGCAAAGATGATTTTTAAAGTTCATTAACGTATTTTGCAAAAGATTTGCTTAAAAAAATTAATTAACTCCACTGAATGAGATATACAGGTAAATATTTGGGTTTAATCAATGTTTCCTTTTAGGGTTTTGATTAACAGAGTGAAAACAAGAGAAGATGTACTTACCAGCTTGCTTTCTTTTCAGTGCATGTGGGAGTAACTGGTTCATAATTTATAAACAGGCTTTGTACCCTTAAAAGACTGCAACTATATTAGCAACGTTATAGGCCAAATTTTCAGCAAAACTCCATAGCGGTATATGCACACCCAAAATGAGTAACTATGGCTGCAATTATCCTTTTTGTATTCCCCCATGAAGATTTTCATATCAGCCCCCATAGGAGATTTCAAATACTATAGACATGGTTAGGAAAGACTGCAAAGGCGTGGCTGAAAAAAAAGGTAACATTTATTCTTCAAATTAAAAATTTCTAGGTTAAGGCTAAAGCACAGGTTTGAAGTTCCTCCTGGTAGAGTGTTTTTGGTCTTATTGTGGCATTTATTTTAGTATTTAAATCAGAACATTACCACTATCAAAAATACTGTGGTCTCTTCATTCTCTTTTGTATAATTGTAGTCTAAGTCATACAGAGAACAAGAAAAAAGTTTACAGATATTCAATTGGTCTCAATGGACCACTATGAAAATCCACAGTGATATTTCACCTTTCATTTAGTGAGATGCCAATAGAAGTTTGAATCAATTGCTGAAGAGAGTTCGTGTAGGAGACTGCACTATATCTCCATCCTAAATACACCACTAGTTATGGGAAGCTATAGGATACCTGATAAGATCACTAGGTAATCAGAGGTAATCAAGATTTTTTCTGCCCTTCTGATGCAGGCCTACAAAACTCAGATCTTTTGTAATATCACAGATAGATGACCATGGATCTCAGTATTTTGTGCAAATCTTGTGGGTTTTTTCTGCAAACAATTTGGAAAGTAGCTTTGATTGTGTTTGATTTGTGGAGATGATTTTCACAGCATGGTCTGCCCTCCTTATAGGTTAAAACAAACAGCAAATATGTTTACTGTAAAAGTAAACCTGGACCATGGGAGAGGAGGCAGAGAGAACTGGAAACAGGTCTTTTGATATTACTGAGCATTATGTATGTATGTAACTAGAGATAAATAATAAATGGACTACTCACCACTTTGGTTATTCCTGCAATGTCTCAGTGATCGGACAGTATCAGCAATCATGTGCTGTGAAATAAAGCATAGAAAATATCAGTGCAGAAATCTGATGGGCCTCTGTTGCTTGAAAATCCTTCCCTAGCCTCACACTTTGCAAGAGCAATTATTAGCAATAATGGGAAAGGAAGGAGGCAGGAGACCTTTAGTTCAAAGGGTAAAGGGTTGTAGGGTTTTTAGTTCAGTGTTAACACTTCATGAACAAGGTTAGTTCTTTCAGAATCCTTTTACAGAAGGATTTTGTTGACACACATTGATAGGGGCTCCAAAGGAATCCATGGAAATGGACAATGAAAAAAGGGTCATTTCTCCATTTTCTCTCAACTTCTGTACTGAATTGGCTGGTTCTTTCTCAGTGTATGGGGGAGTAAATGGTTTGTAAGTCATAAGCATCCTTGTATTGTTATTAAAACTAAAAAGAAAAAACTACATTATAGTTAAGTTTTCAGCAAATCTTTACTACCTCTTTTTACAGCTCCCGTTATCTATGGCATGGTAGTGATTTGATAGTTGGTGATCTTAAATTCTTTTTATCATACTGCTTGCTAGGCAAAAAAGCTGTAGACAGTTGCTCAGATTAAACAAAGAAAAAACTTTAAAATTTTGTTTTGATTTTAATGTCAAATCTTTAGTGGATATCAGTTGAATTAGTTAAAAGATAACAGAACTTCATTCATTTTCACAAGTGGGGATCTGGTCCATTATATTTCTTATGCGTGTTTTCTTTTGACTGAATTTACAATCCAAAAGAAAGAGCATATCAATTTGAGTCAGAAGCCCTTGACTGAATATAGTGACTAATTTAAAATACTGCCTGCAATTAACAATAGCAATATGGCAGCATATGGAAACTGTACAGGCTGTTCCTGTGCTTCCCTCAAAATTCATCAGAATTGGAAAAGATTAGCTACCCAGAGCAGAGGACTACTTGTTTTTAGAATAGTGTATGATTAGCTTGGAATGATGTAGCATAAATTCATTTCTCCACTACCACAACATGAATGGTTTACCATGTTCCTTCACAGACTAGTCTATCATGAGAACAGCTGAGTAAATGCTTAATGAAGACTTCATGTTCTTTAATACCTCAGTGACACAAAATCTTTTTTTTCCAATCTGTGTTCCATTTACCATGAAATCTCTTAACATCGTTTCCTTGCACTGATTAAAACAAAGTCCTAATGAAAGGTCCTAAGTTTGCAAGGTCAATTTCTTAAATCCTTTTAGAGCTTTAACATCCCATTGTTCAGCTGCTATTGTTGCATCTTCTAGTTTACATCCCATATTTTCAGTTTGGCTTCAGAAGTACAGGGAAATTGACCATGTAACTCACATTGCCCACTATGCTTTGTTGCTTGGTATGGGCTAGATCCAGCTGAAATTAGCTTCTGTTACTGATGCCCCAGGGAAGCTCTCTAATGACTGATGCCATGTCTGTACTACAAAATTAAGTTGACCAACTTATATTGTCATACATGCTGCAGTAATTACATCACTGGCACATATCTGTGCTTTGCTCCATGTAAAAACAACAAGCAGTCCTGTGCACCTTAGAGACTAACAGATTTACTAGGTCATGAGCTTCCGTGGGTAAAACCCATTTCATCAGATGAGTTGGAATGGAAATTACAAATCCCAGGGTAGATAGAACAGGAAAGGCCCTGTCAGTTGTAGGGCCAGTGTTAATTAACCTAATTAAGTCAGGGTGGATATGTCCCATTCATAGCATTTTGAAAGAGCATCTAGACTACAACCAGTACTTTCGAAAAAGCAAGATGCTTTTTCGAAAGAGAGCACCCAGGCAGTCTGAATGCTCTCTTTCGAAAAAGCACAGTTTGCATTACATAGCGACTCTTTTCAAAAGAGCACTTTCGAAAAAAGGGGTTATTCCTAGTAAAACGAGGTTTGTCACAGTCTAAAAACTGCCACGTTCTTTCGATTTACTTTCGAAAGAATGCAGCAGCAGTCTAGATGCAGGGAAAGTTTTTTCAAAAAAAGGCCACTTTTTTGGAAAAAACCCTGTAGTCTAGACACATCCCAAGCGCTGACCAACACTCCTCCTATCCATCACACCACCACTGAACATTGCACTAGGACCCATAAGATCCCTCCCACCAACACTACAAGAAGAATTCTAGGTGGACTCCTCCTACTGGTCAAAATGAAGTCTGGACTTCTACATTGATTGCTTCTGCAAATGTGCACAGGCTGACATTATGAACAATCAACATCACATGACACAGAACCTCAGCCGTGAAGAATGAAATGCTATCCATGTACTCAAAAACAGCTCTGACAATCAAAGAGGCTGACAAAGGGGGTGCTGTAATAATCATGACTAGGTCACATTACGACCAGGAGGCTGCCAGGCAACTCACCAACATGACATTCTACAGGCCTCTTCCTCTGATCCCAGTGAGGAATGCCAAAGGAAACTACATCCTCTGCTCAAGAAACTCCCTGCTACTGCTTGGGACTAAATATATGGAGACACCTCCTCCCCCACAGAGAGTATGCTATCTGCTACCCAAGATCCATTAACCTGGAAATCCCAGATATCCCATCACCTCAGACACTGGCATCCTTACAGCAGGATTATCCAGCTATGTTGTAGAATCACACTCCCATCCAACATTATGATACCAGGAAAACCCTATCGAATTACACTTTACATAAAGAATAATTTATTTGTATTAATGTTTAGCTTAACTTGAATGTATTCATCCTCTTGCTCTCATACCCAGATCATACAGGTCCGCTGATCGGGGGAGGGAGAGGGCAAAAGGGGTAACTGCCCCAGGACCTGGCAATTCCAAAGGGCCTGAGGTTCCCAGCTGCCGCTGCCACTGTGGTAGTGGCCATAGCTCCAGGCTCTTTAAAGCGCTACCGGAGCACTGCATGTGCACTACTGGTGGCTCGGAGGACTGGGAAGGGGGAGGTGGGCAGGTGCAGTGTGCTCCTGGTAGCATTGAGAACTGGCTGCCTAATTCCTGTCCCTTCTGTCCAAGGGCCAGTCCCTTCCAGGAGCACAGAGGCAGCTCTCCCCCCACTCGCCCACGGACCAAGCAAGTCTGTCGGCCCCCCTGCCCAATCATAAACGTGCTTTTAATTAAAATACCCGGATTTAATGATGACTGTCAAATTGGGGTTACCTGCTGCTGGGTACCATGAAAGGAAAAAAAGGCATCTAAAGTCTGAGGAGAGAGAATATGTTTGAGAACTCACACTTGTTCCTATGATGGGGCAGTGCACTCTACAGGTGAGTGATTTGTAAAGCACACTCACATGTTGTGTATTAATTGACCCATTTAAACTCTACTGAATATAATGCTGAAAGGGAGCTGGTGGAGTTCATGGAGAGAACTAAACAGGCTGAGGAGTACAATGCATGGGTATCACAGCATGAAACATTAACACAAGAGTAGGAGAGAAAGGGAATATAAAGAGAGAGGGACCAAGAGAAGCATAGATTTCCCCACAAAAAAAGAAGTTGAAAAGGACAAAACGTACATACCAGCTTTTCAAAATTAACAAGGTTATCCAGAAAAGTTTTATTTCCTTCATGGATGAACGTTACATCTACAAAATTTAAAAAGAAATTTATTACATATTTATTAAATAATGTCATGGGTTTTCTTCAGTTCTTTTAGATATAAAGGAATGGAATGATGACAAAGGAGTAATAAAACAAGGAACAAAACTGCCTCATAAGAATTGATACAATGTAATGTTTGTGTTACAGGGCGCAAACAATTATCACTAGATCTTCCATAAAAAATAGAAAATTTATTCATCTTTGGCAATATTAAATGTGTTGACAATCAAGAGAAATGTCAAGTACAGAATGTGAATCTGTTACTCACTAAACAATCTAAGGACTTCCAAATAACACTATCAAACAAGAGAGATGATTCACTCTGCTATCCAGGCCTCAAATAAAAAATACAATGGATTATGGTGGGAAGGGGAGCACAGTAATTGACCATGCCTGGTTTCCACCCTTCCTCCCTGAACACTATGAATCACCTCACTATCTGTAATGCTAGAGATTTTAGGGTAGTTGAGAGAGGGGTGTGGCAGATCCATGAACACAGAATTCTGCTGATTAAATTCTCTTTAGGAGGAAGAAGGGACAAATAAATGGCAGAGACTATGATTTTCCTTAAGTAGCTCTGCAAGTCAACTCCCTCTATTCTCACACACTTTATTACTATGAAAGCAGACAAACAATAAATACAATCCATTGAGCCAAAAATCACCCTGCAGCAAGAACCAAGATTTAGCTCTTAGGAAATAAAATGGCTATTTCTTGCTTCACATTGACACCTTAACTTCAGACCATTTAGTCTGCTGAAGGCAAGACTACAGAGGTTGCAAGGCCATATGATAGAACTGATACTTTGACCATGAAACATATCTACCTAAGAAACATGCATACTGGTGACTGCAGCGATAAGATGCTTTTGTGGCACCACTTTATTAAGGCGATGGGATGTCACAAATACACTCTCAAGGTGATGGCCATGTTTCCAGTTGACAAATGGCCGTCAGAAATTGGGCTGTATGTATCTTTACATGGAATCCTGTGAAATCTCATGCAAAAAGACAACAAACCAATTTGTCTGCCATTATGTACCAAGGCATTTATACCGTGCTTACTTCTTGTGGTATCTCAACAAGCCACTCAGTCCCCTTTACCAGGGCAGGTGGAAGAGAACCTCAGTCCCCATGAAATTAAGTTATAGGACTGCAAATATGCAGCTGAAACAATGAACATCTTTCTTTTCAACAATCCCAGAACATAAAAACAGTCAACTGATTTACTTTCTTTTGTTTCAAAAATTCACTGTTAGGTATCAGCCTAAAGGGGATTTTGTATTTACTTATAGTGGAAATGCTTAACTACTTTATATGCTGGTGAAAACTCAGCTAGAGTACATTAGGCAGAGCACTCTGTATTTGGAGTGATGTAGAACTGGCCACTCCAAAGATGATTTCTGATTCAAGCGAAGCAGGATGCCTGCCTGAATTTCCTAGCGTCTAGCACAAGCACGCCTGCTATTGCATTCATTCATGGTGTGCTGGCTGCTCCCAGTCAACGAGACAGTGAGGACATGAATGGGACATTGCCCTCACCACCTCCCTGTCTGCTCTGGGGCACCCTGTACGCCCCAAGGGAAAAAAAGAGGGCACTATTCCCATTCCCTCTTCCCTCATACTTCCATTCTCTGCACACCTGCATGAGGACCATGCATGAGCTGTCCCTAAATGGCTACATATATTTATGATCACAGAAAGAAGAAAAAACAACGATGTTATGTGATGTTCCTGACAGTGCTAACGAAGAAAGGCTTTATAGTGAAACCAGAAAAGCCAGAATAGTTTGATTCTGTACTTATTCTGTGAAGACTACTCAACTTTGCTGCTAACAGCAAAGAGCCTAGATAAATTCAGTGGAGCAAAAAATTGCATCCAAGCCGTGTTATAAGGGCGAAACACTGGATTTTATTAAATATTTGAAAAATCAGCCAGATTTTCAAAAGCTGTGTCTGTGCTGTAACAAGGTTTGGTGTTTAATTTTTCATAATTAGAGTGAGAAAAGATTCTTATTGCTTTTCTTACCTAATCAGACGTAAATCTATTTCCTCCCCATATTGTTTTTGTTCCTCTTTATGGCTATGTCTAGACTGCAAGCCTCTTTCGAAAGATACTTTCGAAAGAGCCTCTTTCAAAAGAGAGCGTCTAGACTGCACGCGGAACTTTCGAAAGAGCAAGCCGCTTTTTCGAAAGAAAGCACCCAGTGAGTCTGGATGCTCTCTTTCGAAGAAGCCCTATTTACATTCAAGAACGCCTTCTTTCGAAAGAAGCACTTTCGAAAGAAGGCGTTCTTCCTCGTGAAATGAGGTTTACCGCCGTCGAAAGAAAAGCCGCGTTCTTTCGATTTAATTTTGAAAGAACGCGGCTGCAGTCTAGACGCAGGTGAAGTTTTTTCGGAAAAAGGCTACTTTTCCCGAAAAAACCCCTGAGTCTGGACACAGCCTCTGAGTACTATACTTTGCTATTCATAGAATCACAGAAATATAGGCCTGGAAGGGACCCTGAGAGAGTATTTGTGCCAGCCTCTTTTAGCTGAGGCAAGAGCAAATAAATACACTTAAACAGAGACCATCCATGCCAGGTGTTTGTCTAATCTGTTCTTAAAAGCCTCCACTGATGGGATTCCACAACCTCTCTGGGAAACCAATTCAAGTACTTAACTATCTTTATAGTTAGAAAGCTTTTCCTAATATCTGACCTAAATCTCCTTTGCTGCAGAGTAAGCCCATTACTTTTTTTCCTACCTGCAGTGGACCTGTAGAATAATTGATCCAAGTCCTCTTTAAAACTGGCCTTAACATATGTGAAGACTATCATCCACCCCCACCCACCCTCCGACTTCTTCTCAACACTAAACATGCCCGGTTTTATTATAACTTTTCCTCACGGGTCAGGTTTGCTAAACTTTTTATTATTTTTATTGCTGGCTTCTGGACTCTCTTAAATTGTCCACATCTTTGTTAAAGAGTGGCACCCAGAACTGGACACTACTCCTCCTGAGACTTCACTAGTGCTGAGCAGAATGGGACAGTTACCTCCCATGTCTTATGTCTGACACTTTATTTAATGCATCCATTATTATATTAGCTTTTTGGGGGGCAACTGCCTCATATTGTTGATTCATATGCAATGTGTGATATACCAGAGCATACAGATCCTTTTCAGCAGTATTAACTGCCTAGACACGGTTTCCCAAACTTTATTGCATTGTGACCCCCTTCTGACAGCCAAAATTATTACACAATCCAGGGACTTTTGCTTCAGCCCTGGTGACCTCATTAAAATGGAGTTACGAACCACTTTGGGGCCCCAACCCGCAATTTGAGGGCCACTGCTCTAGGTGCTTACAAATTTGATGGTTTAAAAAAATGTGTTCCAGTATCTTTCCAGGTACCGAAGATTTGCTCACTGTGATTCTCCAGGTCCTTTCCCACTCCTTTTAACAAGAAGTGTTATGTTTAGTCTTTCCTAGTTCACTGGGACCTTACCCATTCTCCATGAGTTGCTGGACATAATCATTAACAGTTCTGAGAATGCTTCAGATAGTTCCCTAAGTACCACCAACATGAATTTCATCAGACTGACTCGCATTCATCTGACATTTAAATATTCTCTGACCTGTTCTTTTTCCTGTTTTAGCTTGTGTCCCTTCCTCCTTGTTGTTAATAATAATGAAAGTTAAGATTCTCTTCGCTACTTTTAGTAGAAGTCAGAGACAGGTCATGGGTAATAAACAAAAATTCAAAGAGGCCCATGACCTATCTCTGTCTTTTTCTAAAAATAACTGAGACAAAATGGGGCGGACAGGCTAAGCCATGTGGCTGTATAGCTGCCTGTTAAGCCCTGCTCCGGGGTTCAGGGCTGTGGCAGGAAGAGATGCCTCTCCCCCACTATGGACCTACCCAGTGCTTTTTTTATTTATATAAAAAAAAAAAAGTGCCGGTACTCCATGGGAAAAGTTTTTGAGCTCTGACTGGAGGTGCTGGCACTGCGTCTGGAGGTGCCAGTACTACGTACCAGGCAGTACCATCACAAAAAAAGCACTGGACCTACCAAGGCAGGAGATGTGCTTCTCCCCACTAGCCCCAACCCAGAGCTGTCAGGGATAGGACAGAGGTCCCCTTCCCTAGTCTACCCCGGACCTGTTTGTTAAAAAAAAAGCAGACTAACTCCAATGTTGCTGCTTTCACTCCTCCCTTTTATTTTAGACCATTAAATCTATCATTTCGCGATCACTTTCACCCAAGTTCCCTACAAACTTCAGATTCATCTCTGGTAATTACAGTGAAGTCTAAAATGGCTATCCCTATCGTTACTTCCTCCATTTTCTGAAATGAGAAGTTGACTACAATACATTCCAACAAGTTACTGGACATTTTGTGTTTTACCGTATTATTTTTCCAACAAATGTCTCAGGACTTCACATCTTGAGCATTGGATTTTTTGGAGGGGTTGCTCATTATTTCTAGGCTATTAACATTATTGTAATGTGTACTGTAACAAACAACACTGACACATCTAGGTTTGCATACTCAAAATTACATGGATTAAAAGAGAGGAAGAAAAAAAATGGCATTATAGAGCTCATTTGGATTATCAGCCATGACAATGCCCCTTTGAATGACACTTTTTACTTATGAGGATTTTGTAATGAAATTCTGGTATCACATTTTATCATAAAGATGTAAGAATACACTGTGGCAATACTAGTTGGGTACATGGTTTGATATACAATATTGTATTGCTGGGTCAAACATCATAATGTATTAAGGCAACATCAGTTTCTATAGAAGGGGTGGGAAATCTTTTTGGGGTTGGGGGCTGCTGACCCACAGAAAAATCAGTCAGGGGCTACACACAAATGAGAAACAAAAAACCTAAAAAACCCTCACTGTTGTGCCCCCAAATGAGAAGGAGAAAGGCACTCCCCCCCACATTTCCCTTGCACACCAGAACCTAAGGGGAGCTAGATTAGAAGATTTTTTTGCGCGCTAGCTCCGGAGTGCCACTACGGGGTGCTGGTATGGGGCTGGAGTGCCAGTACAGGCACTCCGGGGTGCTGGTATGGGGCTGGAGTGCCAGTACAGGCTCCCCAGTGTTGGTGGGGGGGGGGGGGAACCCTGAATCTCAGGAGCCAGATCCAGGAAAGCTGGGGTCGCATCTGGACCCCGGGCCTGATGTTCCCTCCACCCCCACTCTAAAGCGTAGGCAGAGAATAGACCATAAGCATTCAATGGATTTATTTGATAGTTTTTGCCCTCTCTGTTTTAGAACTCTTGTCTTGTCATCCATTGAAATATGATGACACCAAAAGTAAAATTTCCCTGTATATATACAAACCCCTCAGAAGACTGGGGACCTGGGGACTCAGACATTTTTAGCCTGTCTGGAGAATTTTCCCTTGAAACATTTTAAATGTATGCAAATTAATGGTACTAGGGATGTTAAATTTAGACTATTCGATTAGTGGATAAGGGCGCCTCTGCCTTTGAAGTGTAGCAACAGACCAAGGACTGTTGCTACACTTCAAAGGTGAAAGCGCTGTGGGGCGCATGGGGCCAGTGGGGGACTCAAGGAGTCCCGCTGATAGAGGCAGCAAGGGAGGGGTGGGGAGCGACTAGTCAACTAGTTGTTCACATCCCTAAATGGAACCACAGAGAACACTTCCAGAATACAGGGATATCAAATGAATTTGTCATGATCAAAGATAAGATGGTAGAATACTTGAAATACCTACCACTTAATTGGCTATTTAACTCTCTATGTTGAATAGGTTGCTCATTGTCTTTTTCAGAATTCACAGAGTGCAAGGGGTTGACTCTAAAACCCTTTCCAATCACAAGAACCATGTATATTTGACAGATAAATGGGAGAGATTCTGATCTCAATTAAATCCAGTCTAATATTTATTAAATCAGTGGTAACCTCTCCTTTGGTTGAGTATGGTTCAACTTTTCTCCGTTTGGTATCCATAAATGTTGTTTTCATTTATCATCCACATCCAGATGGTGCCACTCAAGAGACCTACATGCTATCTCCCCCAACCCCAACATTTCACACTAACAGCTCAGAGGCAGTATTACAGTAGGTGACTGGGAAGGCCCTAAGTTTCAAAGTGTTTGAAAAAAAAGTCATTCTTACGCATTTTTAAAAGGCAATTGTTCATTATCCAAATCAAGTGCCACTGAAGTCTCATACATATTATTTCTATACTTACCATGAAACAAATTGTAGAAAAAAATTGCCTAACATTTACTGTAACTAACCATTACACGTTTCTGTAGATGGAATTACATGGCAAAGAAAGGCAGACAAGATTTAACATTACCTTTCAGAAGTAAGGGCATGAAAGGAATTTTCGGAGACTTCATTTTCTTGAATGCATCTCTATAGGCTTTGTGATTCAGAGAAGGGTCCTGAAAAATCATTTTCATAATAAAAGAGGAAAATCAACAGACTATAAAAAGAGCAATTCTAAATCCATTATAGGCTTCTGAACTGAATGTGATTTAGATATAAAAGGGTCCTTGGGAAATGAGGTAGATAAAGGTTTCCTAGGAGAGGTGACTTAGTAAACTGAACAGGAAATGTAAACAAAGAAAGAAATAGAAATGATTATGTTCCTGTGCAGTAAATGGTTTCAATATAGGATATAGCTACACGAGATATTCAGCATTTGACTGTTCTGTAATTTCCCCACATAATCTCTGCGAGCACTATCTCTTCATCTTAATATCTAAAAGAATCTGTCCAAAAAAGTGCCATTGATGCATCTTTGCAGTGGAGAATTAACCCATTAAACACTTTTTTCTTAAAGAAAAAAAATAATGGAAAGTGGCTGAGCAGTTCTATGCAATGTAAATACTATCATTCTACATCTCAGTACATGCTATTAAATGTTTTGGGAAATATTTCTAACTTGAGGACATGTAATTATTTAATAAGAATTCCTATTGCCATGATTATTCTAAAATAATCATTAAAGAACAGATTTTGCCATCATTACTCAATTCACTGATAATCTCTCTAATCCCATAGCAGCCAAAACAAATACTCATGCTGGGTAGTATCTCACAACACAAATAAGGGTGGCAAAGTCTGGCTCTAAACTTTTGATTTTCCCTTCTTTTTATACTGATTCTTTCTACAGACTTTTACAAAAAAATTCGTAATACCTTTTGCTGTGTATCAAAAGATTGGTGATTAGCTACCATGACAATGGAGTTACTTCTAGATTTACACCAGAAAACCAAGCACAGAATTTGGCTTTTTATTTTCCCCTTTGTCAATCCACAGGAATGCAGGGTGAATTTAGCCATTTCTGAGACCATGTCTGCACTACTGAGATATGTGCGGACTGTGGCAAACCATGATTGGAGAAAGGCACATCTAAACTTTAGACAATGTTAGGTACAAAAGAAATAAGTTGAAGGGGAACAACTAGGGAGCTAAACTCTTCTGGCACTAGCACTGTACTTACTGTCAAACTTTCAAGTTCAGTGAAGAGTTTCTTAAACTTCCCAGGGATTTTCTATGGTAGGGGGGAAAAAGAAAGAAAACGGGACTAAAGGAATCATATATGCAGAAAAACACAATTTTTCTTTCTGATTGTGTCATGTATAAAGTGTCAAATATCACCAAGCCACTTCCCCCATTCAATTATCATTTTTTTCTTAGAACTAAAATCTCTAGTTATGAATAATATTTAGAGCGATACTAATCAATTAGATTTAGCAGTCTTGCCTTTTGAGAGCCCATGTAGTCATGATTCTTTTATGAAAATTGCTTCTGAACATCTATTTTCATTTTCTCTACTAATTTCACCTCTGCTCCATTTGTCTTAATACATTTGTGGAAATGGAAACAACACAGATTGAAAATTTAGATATTCAATAATTTGGTTGCAATAATCTTCTAATTCTTTTCCTAAAATGTCGGCTCATGGTCTGATCCTACATGTCAGCGGGCCAGATTCTGGTCTAACACTAACTTCACTGGTGTAACTGAGAAAAGAATCAGGCTGACAGACTACTATGATGAATATAATCCTGCAAAATTTACTCAACATTTTTAAAGGATGTATCTGCGCTGTATGATTAAAACACTAGCAACTGCATACCTAAAATAACTGCATATGGAATTGCACTCATAAGATTTTAGCATCTTGAACCAGAGGGAGTTAGGTGCCTTCTTAAAACAATGTATATTAACAACAAAAATAGTAGGGCATCCTTGAGGATGCAATCATCTATTTAAGAATGCATAGGTTGGTGTATAACTGGTTGTATAAACATAGGTTATTTAATTTGCATGTATAAATAATCATGATTAATATATAAGCATTGCTTTCTATTTCCTAGAATTCAAATTACTGATGCATACAAGCTTTAGGTGTTTGAAATTTTTCTGTAGCAAAGTTCTGCAGATTGAAAGAATGCCATGTAAACAACTGTAGTTACATGTATTTTAAAAAGAAAAAACTGTGTGTGTGCATTTCATAATATTTCTTCACATGCAAACACACAGAATGTATAATAAAAAGACACCTTTATCCACTGCTGATCCATTAATAAGTACTGTACTTGTTCAGATAAATAACACATTTTATTGTTGAAATACATCAGAGGCACAGAATAGATTGCCAAAGAAGCAAAACTGCTGCAGTTCTGCTGCTGCAGAGTAGGCATGCATGGTAGCTTCTAATAATTTCTGGACCTTTATGGATAACTCTTCTGATCTTGGAGATCTTTCTTTGCTTTGTCCTTATTTAAAACTTCTGTAGAATACATTTAGATATACTAGTATTCATAGGTGGTCTGCATTTATAGGTAATGTAGACATCTATATACTGACCTCCTCCCATGCCAATGTTCCCTCTAATTTTTCTCATCCATCTGCAGACTAAATTTTGTTATGTGCACCAAGGCATGTGCAGATGTGTACCACCAGTAGAAACACATGCTGCTGGCTATATGCATTCTGGTAATCAGCTGGGTGGCATCTGAATCTCTCTAGGGTGGTTGCCCAAGTGCTCAGCTTACAGGGAACACTAGATCCTCTCTCCCTCTCCCCGCCCGCCCCCCCCCCACACACACTTTCTTTACACTTGAAATCAACATCTGGGCTATGTCTACACTGGCACCCTTTTCCGGAAATGCTTAAAACGGAACAGTTTTCCGTTATAAGTATTTCCGGAAAAAGCGCGTATACATTGGCAGGATGCTTTTCCGGAAAAGCACTTTTTCCGGAAAAGCATCCGTGGCCAATGTAGACGCGCTTTTCCAGAAAAAAGCCCCAATTGTCATTTTGGTGATCGGGGCTTTTTTGCGGAAAAGACTACTATGCTGTTTACACTGGTCCTTTTCCAGAACAGTTTTTCCGGAAAAGGACTTTTGCCCAAACGGGAGCAGCATAGTTTTTCCGGAAAAACACTGACAATTTTATAGTAGATCGTCATTGCTTTTCCGGAAAAGCAAGCGGCCAGTGTAGACAGCTGGCAAGTTATTCGGAAAAGCGCCTGCTTTTCCGGAATAAGTGGCCCAGTGTAGACACAGCCGTAGAGAAAAGAAAAAAAACCCATCAAAAACTTGTGAAATATATAGTTTTAACAAGATTGAAAAGATACAAAGATATGGCTTACCTCCCAGGTTTGAGACAGCCGGCTGACAGATGCAGTGTTGAGACCCATAACAATGGCAAAAAACGAGTTCAGATTTCTTTGGGCTTTACAGCTGTAGAATAATGATTTTTTTTAAAAAAATCATATTACACTTTAATTTCCTGTCCTCGGAGAATAATAAAGCAATTGTGATGGGAAAGATATCCCAAGTTATCCAATCCAACTTTCCTGCACTAATATAAGATTGTCCTTTATACTAAAACCACTACTAGTCTTTTACCCCAGAATGATTCCTTACCCTCTATTGTGTTGTTATATAAATATTTTCACCCTTCAGTATCATCTTTTCTGTAAGCTCTACATATTTATTTCCCTTAATTTCTCTGTTTACAGTCAAGGCATTTTTGCCATTCTTCTTTGTCATAATTTATCAACTATCCACCCCACCCTACCCCCTCACTCAGAAAAAAATGGAAAATTGTACATGGCACTTGAATGCTGATCTTATCAATAAAATATGTGTGTGTGTGTGTGTGTGTGTGTGTGTGTGTGTGTGTGTGTGTGCGCGTATATATATATACATATACATATATGTGTGAGTTTCTACCTTCTCTTTTCTATTCTCTCATGTGATAGTCCTTCTATTACTGTATCCGATGTATTTATTTATAACATCACACTTGGACTTTGCCTTTAATTTGTCATTTCTTATCATGCAATAACCTTCTCTACAATGCTGCTCTTAATAATCTTATGTATGTTTCTTTGGGTTTGTATTAGTATCCCCTGGTTCTATTACTCTGCATTTATCTAAATTAAATCTCTCATTATTGTTTGCCCGTAACAGTAAACCCTTTAGATCATTCAGTATTTTTTCTCTGCCCTTCAGTGTTTTTGCAGTCCCCACAAAATTTATTATTGTCTGCAAATACAATTAATGTTCAATTTACAGATACTTCTGGATTATTAGTTAGCAGTGGACCCTATTATTGATGACTGAAATTCTGCAGTCTCTCTAATTTCATGTTTTACAATATATTCCCCGTTTACTTTTAGTCCATTAGCAAATATGCAATTACAAACTATAGTATGCTATCAAAACAGTATCATTCCACTTTCTCAAGCAAGACTATCAAAAGTTTGACTATGAAAATTAGGGGATTGTGTTTTAAATGAACATTAGGCACATGAGTAGTCCCCCTGTCTTCAATAGGATTATTCATTTGAATCATGATAAGTACAACATTAATGCAAAGGTAAAATTCCCTCTTCTGTTTCCCATTTACCATATCTCGGTCTTACAACTTTAACTTCACATTGCCATAAAAGATAATTAAATCAGACAGACACAGATACCTGCTTTATATCCACAAGTACCCGTATCCACTAATGGGCTATCCCTGGCTCATTTTTTCAGATACAGATGTACATACCAATTTTGTATCTAGAACCCTGAAAATTTGTGGCTATCTTCTTTATACGTGCAGGTATCCACATCTGTGGATGTGGACACAGATAACTGCAGATCATTTTTGCAGATACAGATACCAATTTTATATCTGCACAGGACTCTACAAATTAGTGTTACCAAGGAAGCCAGTGAGCCACCTTAAATCTATTCTTATAGACAGAATAAGAACAAAGTTAGTAATTTATAGGCTTGAGAATGAATGTGTTGCTGGATAGCACAAAACTTGCAAACCGAAACAAATTGCATTTGTAAGTACATTATATTGGATTAACAGAGTGCACTTCACCAAAGATATTGCAGCAGCAGCAAATGGACTTCTGTATTTAATTGCTTCTCTTGGAACAAATTAAATCAAGTCAATTGGTGAAAGGATGGATGTGTGAACAAATTATACATTTTCTATGAATGTGAATATTCACATAGTGCAGAAGATCAACAAATGTATGATAGAGGTGAGGAGAATGGCTGCAAATAGCTTCACTACCTTGGTGGCTAAAACAGGCGAGATTATAGAGAAAGGAACTATGTGTACAGTATTTATTTATATTATATTCAACTGGCATGCAGTAAAGGCTAGTAATGTCATTAATGGAGCAGCAATAGCACACCAGTATTCTCATTTAAAATTTGGCAAATGTAAGCAATTAAATTATAAAATAATTCAGTTAAATTAAGCCCACTCTAGAAGAGCAGACTGCAATGGCTCAGTATGAATAGTCTCATCTGTGTAGGTATGATTTTAAGATTAACATTGCAAATGAGTTTTGATGAGTCATCAAAAACATTAATGAAATAGCTGGTCTTTTGCAGGTGCACTGGCTGAGCTGAAAAAGAAGACTGGAATGGACAGCAACTATCAAGAAACAACACTTTAAGAAAAAAAGAGATTGAAAACTGATTGAAAAAGTGGCCAAATATGATGACATGAAAGTCTGTAGTGGGAGCCTTTGCATTCCTGTGTGATATCTACTGGTGACTGATCTTCGCAAATCAAACTACACAGCCACAAGAGAACACACAAGAGGCCATTATATCATTGTTTGATGCAAAGGACAGCCAGATAGGTGAATACGTGAACAGCACACAGTGGCACTGTGGGTTTGGCCAGTGTTTGTTAATATTGTTATTTATAAACAGTGATAAAAATAATTGCCATGACTTACCAATACACCGGGGTCCTTGGCAAGGCGTATGGTGGCAACCCTGGGCCCCAGAAAGGGGCGGGGCATCAGGCAGAAGGAGTGGGGCGGAGAGCTCCAGCAGTGATTTTAAGGGCATGGGGCTTCCAGCTGCTACCACAGCGGCTGCAATCACAGCAGCTGGGAGTTGTGGACCCTTTTAAATGTCCAGGCCCCAGGATAGCTGCCCCTTTTGTTTTCCCTTCACCCCCACCAGCAGCCTGGGGGAGGAGGCAAAAGGGACAATGACATTAAAGCGCTGATGAGGGGAAGCAAAAGGGGCAGCAATATTAAAACACTGCTGCAGCAGCATCTTAAGGAAGGTCCTCTTTAAGTGCTGCCATGGCAGCACTTTACGATCTGCAGTATACAGGCTGCTACTAGTGGTTTTTTCTGGTATGCCGGACCTGCCCTCCTTACTTTCACCTCTATTTATACATTTGTGTGTACATCACGCTTCCTAAACATTTACAGACAAACAATGATAAACAACAAATTCCTTTCATCACTTCCATACCCTTCTCCTGCCCTCCAAAAAGATAAAAGCTGTTCATTGAAGATTCTAGTTTCAACTTTAGTAACTTACTGGGCAGCAATCTTGATGAATTTTTTCACTAGCTGTACACGTTTACAGAGCTGGCTGCAAAGGAGTATCTCTGTGGCCACCCAGAGCTGCACTTCATTGCATCTTTGAAGAAGAAGACTAAGATTTACAGTGTTTTCACCACTGCTCTGTCTGCTGAAGGTGAAGTATATTAGCTCTTGCTGAAAGACAATTATCGTATTATTAGAGCTTTTAACAACTGTCAATAAAGTTCAAATTATGTAAAATTTAATATATATTTTTAAAATTAGATAAGAAATGTTTGATATTTATAAGGAGTGTTTTTATCAGTGATGAGTTAATCACAAATGATTCAAAGTTCTAGTATGGAGATTAAAGGCTCATTGAAACCTCTTGAGTTTGGATGCGGGCTAGAAATCTTTCACTGGGTGTTTTTATGAGATTGCCTGCAGTTTTACTTCTAATCATGGCTGAAAACAGGACAAGAATAGGCTGCCTTTTTCAACATTTCATCATTTCTAGTTACAACCTAACAAAAAAATCACATCTGAACTCCCCACCACCTTAAGAAAGTTCATTTCAAAAACGGTTCTAAAAATAGCCAGTGCTTCAAGGAGCAAAAATGGAAGACTCTTATTTTCTTCTCAACTACCAATCAGTAGTTTTCAGATTTCGAAACTAGAACTTGTAAGTTTCTAAATAGAACTTAGAGGAAGGATCAGAGAACAGAGCTAAGATGAAAGGCATAGAAGAGGTCACATTTCTTCCCTTTCTTTTCATTGAGGCACCACACTTTTCAGTGGGTGAATCACTACGATCTGATTTTGACATTTTTGTTGACTGGCCCTATCCTCTCCATCCACCTCATTCCTATGAGGCTTCTGGATTACTCAGGACCACACTTTGAAAGGACCACTGCAATGCCCACTGAAGTCTGTGGAAAGGCACACAGGGTATTAGAAAGAGCCTTAAGAACAATTTTAGAATCATAAACGTAAGGCTACAAGGGAACCTTGAGAAGTCATCAAGTCCAGTCCCCTTCACTGACTCAGGACCAATTAAATCTAGACCATAAGACAGAAAATATATTACCTCTATATAAATCCATTGTACATCCACATTGTCAATACTACATACAGATGTAGTCATCGCCATCTCAAAAAAGATATAGGAACCGGAAATAGTTCAGAAAAGGGCAAACAAACATGATAAGGGTTTTGAAGCAGCTTCCATATGAGGAAAGATTAATAAGATGGGCACTTTTCAGCTTGGAAAAGAGATAACTAATGGGGGATATTATAGAGGTCTGTAAAATAATGACGGTTGTAGAGAAAGTAAATAAGGAAGTGTTATTTACTCCTTATAACACAAGAACCATGGGTCACCAAATGAAATTAACAGGCAGCAGGTTTACAACACACAGAAGGAAGCACTTCTTCACACACCACAATGTCATCCTCTAAAACTCCTCGCCAAAGGATATTGTGAAGTTAAAGACTATATATAACAAGGTTTAAAAAAAAGAGTTAAATAAATTCATGAATGATAGGTCCATCAATGGCTATCAGTCAGCAGAGATGATTACCTGTCCTGTCTATTTCCTCTAAAGCACCTGGCATTGGCCACTGTAGGAAGATAAGATACTAGTCTAGATGGACCTTTAGAATGACCCAGTGTGCCCCTTCTTATCTTCAGTAGGGAAATCTAATGTATATACACAAATACAAGGAGTATGGGAAAATACTCCCAGTTTCTCCTGTATATTAGTCCATGACCTAAATTATGACTTCACTGGCACTAGGGAAACTTTGTGGGATACATCTCATGACTGGGATATTGGTATAGAGGCACCTTGTTCAGGAAAGACAGGCAGGAAAAAACAAGGGAAGAAGTGTTGCACTAAAGAAATCAAGATGATCCAAGGTGAAGCACAATTTGCAGATGATACAAAACTACTGTTCAAGATAGTTAAGTACCAAGTAGACTGTGAAGAGTTACAAAGAGATCTCACATCTGATGAAGTGGGTCTTTACCCATGAAAGCTTATGCTTCTATACTTCAGTTAGTCTATAAGGTGCCACAGGATTCCTCGCCGCTCTTTTGAAAAAGCGGCTTGCTTTTTCAAAAGTACTGGTTGTAGTCTAGATGTTCTTTTTTGAAAAAGGCTTGCAATCTAGATGTAGCCTATGATATTGCATCAGTTTCCCCTGCATATAAGATACAGTAAATTTTTCATCAAGATATGTTCTCTTCCCCATTTCTAGCATATAGTCTAACTTCTAACAACTTTTTTTACCAATATTTCTGCCTTTGATTAAAACCCCACAACTATATGGACAATTAAGATACAGCTATTGTTTCTTACCTCATGAATTGAATTGAAGAGACTCCAATCAAAGTTTGTTAATTCTAAGGCAAGATCCCATGTATTAATTCCCAAAATTCTCACAGCCCTTTGTAGTGATTCTTCATTTTCGGCATATGGATTCTAAGTCAGTGAACAGAAATAAAAGAATCCTCAGCAATTCCCAGAGACTCTGCCCAGAGTTAGCTACTGCATTGATGTAAAAACCCAACATTGAAAAAGTAATCTTCCCTGAGTGCACTTAATATTTTCAATCGACTGTTCACCTTCAATGAGTTACAGACAGTTTAAGAAATAGAAGAATATGATCAATGTCTTATTGAATTAGGTCCTCACTCTTTTTAATATCTGATTATGAAACACTGACGAGGCAGACTTTGTAATGAAAGCAAAATGCTTGAAATAATTGTGGCCTGTGATCAGAACTAATGCTCCAGCAAGTTTTAAAACTAAAAACAATATTATGGTGAGTTCCATAGGAAACAGATCAGATTTACAGTACAGTATATACATATAATGTACCTACAGCCCAGAATGCACATTTACAAATTACATAAAACTATAAATTTTATGCTGAAAAATGGCTTACTTTGAATACAACTGTCAGGCAGCAATAAAAAACATTGAGGCCTAATTCACAAAAGTTACTTACATGTATTACTGTAGAACTCATGAATACCACAGGAGCGAAGGATCATTTGCTGTTTCTGTTTTTCTCACCTGGTTTTTATGTCATCAGTCTAAAATTTGGCATGACTAATTTGCCCAGATGAAAACTGATTTCAAGCAGTTGAGCCATTATTTTAGTGTTTCTTTTGATAATTATAAAATAAAAGGTAACTCTTCCCTCGCCCCAAAACTCTCTGTAATTAATGTAACTAAATTGTTTAACACTTGCTAGGGACTTCTTGCCACTATTAACATTTTTAAAAGTATCTATTACTCTGCAAACAATGTGGAAGATACATTATGATAATAGTACTGAAGCTTTTATGGACACACTAATCCAATAAAATGCAAATAGACATTTCTCTTGCATCAGACAAATTCATGAAGTCTAAATTAAACCGATAATATGCCACAACCACTAGAATACTCATATATTTGTTTATATATACTTGCAATGTCATCAGAAGATTGTTGAAAAATTAATTTACTGAGAGAACCTAACTGTGATTAACAGACATTGATCTATTGTACCACCCCCAAGAGATAATCTGAGCAGGATCGCCACTGGTATCATGGTTCACTTTGCCCAGTTCCCCTGGCTGATTTGATCCCCTTTGTGTTCTTTGTGCAATAGCCATCCTAGAGAAGAACAGATGCTGAACTCTGCAGTGTGTGGAAAATCCTATTATGCATTGGCCCTACAAAGGTAGCTGAGATGCACAATCAAATAAGGCTCCTTACACTGGCTCTCTCCATCCTGACCCCATTTCCATCCCTGCACAGGAACCCAGTACTATCTGATTTTTAATTTTTCTCTCTTAACAAATGCCAGCGAGTTAACCAAACCCTTTAAACAGGTATAAAAGTGTTACCCTATTTGATACATTACATAATTCCACTTCTGTTTAATAAAGACACTCAAATTCAGGAGCATTTATTTTAAAAGGTGTAATTAGCTCAATAAATTATAGTAAAAGACTTGCCAGTTATTTATGCTACAGCTGCCTTTCTGCAAATAAGTTCTGGCAAGTTTTCTTATGGAAATTGGAAAAAGTAAAATGCACATTGAAAAGTACCATTAGGGAAAAAAATACTAGTCCTAGTCTTGGAATAAGACGTCAACCATTATACAGCTTTAGATCATATAGTCTTACCAAAGTATCAGTCAGATCTTTTCTGTAGACAAACATACGACTGGTTGCTTCAAGAGATTTTGAGAAAGCCAGGTCATTTGATTGTAGTTCGTGTTTTTCTTTAAAAAAATATATAAGTCAGAATACAAATCTACACGGTACATAAATAACCAGGTTCCACATGCAAACAAATGCCTAAAGCTTATTTGCTTTAGCAACTGCAACCAAATATTATACATAGAATTTAGTGATTTATTCAGCCTGTTCCCATTTATTCACCATGCTTGAGATACCATACTGTTTATGTGATATACAGTAAATACAATGAAAGCAAGATGTCTTTGAAGCTGAATGATCAAGTCTATGCCACCTGCACAAGAACTTTCAACTCCTCAGAAGTAATTAATAAATTTACATTTGAACCACTGTTTACAAGGAGTAAAAAATTGTGAATGAAAACATCCTAGTTTCTTCAATCATTTCAATAAAAATTACTCCACTAGGCTATGTCTACACTGCAGGGGTTTTGTGCAAGAAGTCTTTTGCAGAAGAGTTCTTGCACAAAAACTTCTTGTGCAAAAGCACGTCCATACCTGAAAGCATATCACTTTGGGATGTACTTTTGCTCAAGAGAGTGTCTACACTGCATGGACGCTCTTGTGCAAGAAAGCTCTGATGGCCATTCGCACCTGTGCTTTTTCAGATAGGCTCTATTTGCGCAAGACACCCCTGCGGAGTGTCCACATATGCCTTTTTGTGCAACAGCCACAGCGCAAAAAGGAGTTATGCCTCGTAGAAGGAAGTTTACCTACACTGCAAAAAGCCCTCTGTTCTGCCATTTTACTGTTGATTTACTTGCGCAAAAGAGGTGTGGACACTCTGCGGGTTTTTTAACAAAAACAGTTGTTTTTGCGCAAAAATCCTGCAGTGTAGAGGTAGCCTTAGTGTTTACGTTGCTGACAGAAACAAAAGTTGCAGCAGATCTCTTCTCAACTCACAGAAATGTTATTATAACCAGGAAAGGGAAATACATGGGAGTAATGTACAGTCCGTGCTACTGATAGCATAAAACTAATTCACTCAGTGCTTTCAAAATGAAGGTGTTCTTATATTATCAAGACGAAGAGATAACAATTTGTGGCTTTCAAATGTAAATGAACAAGTGACATTCCTATTGTTGATTTTTAATTAGTTTTGAAATTTAACAGACAAGTAGTAGTGATTATTATTTTAGTATTTTATCTCAAACCCAGCATATATATGCTGTAGATAATCCTATGCTTCATTATTTTATGAACTGTTAGTTTTCCTTAGCTAGCAAAACTAGCCATGAATTTATCACCATTATTATTTTGCAGCAAATCCTGCCTCCTCCTTGCACAGATGCAGCAGAATCACTGTTGTTTTGCAATACTGAGAAGGCACTGCAGGAATGTTAGAGTACAAGCAGGGGCATGACAGGTATGTCTGGAAATTATGTGGATCTGCTGGCCAAAATTCCCATGTAAATGTGACAGCACTGCTGCACCTCAGACACACTCAGGGTTGCTGGGACAGGATGTCACCCTTTATCACCCATGTGGGTACTATGCACAGAGTTGGTTTGTTTTAAATCTATTCACTGGCCTCTTTTATAGTTCTTATTTTTAAGCAACTAGATAAATCATCTTCTTTGTATTCACTAACAGTAATAAAGGGAGACTATAAGTAAAACAGCTTCCCAAAGGACTGACAGACACCTAGGGAAATGATGGGGACAGGCAGGTCAAATAGATCAATAGTGTCAGCCTGTAATTGGTGTGATCTTCCTTGAGAGAGACAATAAACCGTTCTCTGTTAAATAAGAAAGACTTTTTTAGAAGCTGCAAGCTAGATAATTCCAACAGCATTTAGTCAAAGACAATATTACTTGGATTGCTTTGAATACCTACATTTTCCACATTTTCTTTCCCTCCCCATTTCTCCATTTACAGAAAAATCTTAACATCCCCGTAGCCCACAATTTTACTCTTTTTAAAGAAAGTCATACCTTCACACCTTCCCTAGTTTAAATATGAAACTAGGAGGCTTATCTGTGGAAAAAGCCTTATAATATATTTCTAATCAGCGAAAGTCCTTTGCACTCCAATCCTGGTGAGAAAATACAATAAGCTACTGTACCCAAGAATTAGCTGTTGTCATGGAAACAACTCTCTGGAAGGCAGCTCCTTATTGTTACTATGGTCATCCAGCTGTGGACCCATACTGGAACAGTTACATCTTTGCACTTGAAAATGTCAAATATCTTTTTATAGATGAGATACTGTAAAAGGTTAGATGAACAAAAATTATTTACCTCCAGAGAATGTGACAGTAACCAGAGTCAGGTCCTCCTCTGCATGCTGGATTTTTTCTGCTACAATTTTCAGGATCTCCTGAACTGACGTGGATACTTTAGTTTTTATGCTGACATACGAATGTTCTGTTATATACACACGGCAGAAAACTGCACAAAGAAAGAAAGAAATGTCCATAAATAGACATTTATAGGAGATAGAAGAATTTCACAAAATAAACTGTGGCAATGCCTTGGCTGGTTCGGTTTCTTGCCTTATTCTGTTTGATTGTAATTTCTGACAGCAGCAGGCACACTAACCTCTTAACACAAACAGCATATTTTCCCCTTTCTCCTATCCCTGTGAAATCACAATGACATATTAAAAAACAGTATAGTGCTTCACCAACACACAGTTAGAAGTCCTATTGTAGATATTAACCACAGAGCAGGTACCCCATATAACACTTTTATTTTGGATGTTTTGAAGACAAGTGTCCTCTCTCTCTTTCCTTTTCAAGCTCAGCAGTTGATTCTTTTGTTACCTTTTTTCAGGATCAGAAGAATCATAATTCTTTCTGTACAACTCAGGTCTTCCATCGTTCTTATTTTGTACTTTTCCTTTTAATCTGAACAATGAAGCTCTAAGAGTGTCTTTTTTTACAGTCTTCCTCAATCGATCCATCCATCAAAACTTGTCTAGCTAGCCGTTCAAATCTCTCTCTCCCCCCCCCCCCCCCCCCTTAGCAGATGTGGGGGCTATTCTCACAGCAATACAATTCAAATACAGATCTCCTTCCTAGATCAGGTTACATGACACCTGCAAAGGACTGGCCTGAAGAAGGACCAAGTGCCTGTAACATCTACTGAAGTCAATCGATCCATCCATCAAAACTTGTCTAGCTAGCCGTTCAAATCTCTCTCTCCCCCCCCCCCCCCCCCCTTAGCAGATGTGGGGGCTATTCTCACAGCAATACAATTCAAATACAGATCTCCTTCCTAGATCAGGTTACATGACACCTGCAAAGGACTGGCCTGAAGAAGGACCAAGTGCCTGTAACATCTACTGAAGTCAAATGGACATTCAGGCACTTAACTCTCAGGATTAGATCCTAAAGCAGGGGAGGGCATAATTTTTAAAGGGAGGCTACTTCACAAATTTCCGAAATGATTGTGGGCTGCCCCAAAAGGGGTAAGGCCTTGGGCGGAGCCTTTAAATAGCAGGAGTTGAAACTGCTCCTGCCTCATTGGCAGCTCCCAAGCAATGCATTAAGAAGCTAGGGTGGAGCTGCCACAGGCTGGATGAAAGGGCTAGGTGCGCTGGTTAAGGATTTTAACTAACGAGTAATTTACTAGTTGAGTAGTTGATGGAATTTCCATCGACTACTCGAATAGTCAATAAGCACTTTTGCATTTTCCAGGGGTTCTTGTGTATTTCAAAGTGGAACCACCCGCATGAAGCCCAGAGTCAGCAGCGTGCCAGCTTTGAAATGTCTAGGGACTCATGTGCAAAGTGGAAGCACTCTCATGGAGCACAGGGTCAGCAGGAGACTCCCCAGCTGACCCTGGGCTCTGCATAGCATTTCCCCGGAACCCGGGGTTGGCTGGGCACTCCCCAGCTGACTCCAAAGCGGCAGCACTGCACAGAGCCTGAAGTACCCTCTTTTTCTCCCCCTTTGCTGCCTCTATCTAGTAGAGGCAGCAGGGGGCAGGGAATCAACTAGACTATCCGATAAGCACGGATAGTCGACTAGTCCTTAACATCCTTAGGGCTGGTTTCAGCCCTCTGACAGCTTCTTGCCCAGCCTTGTCCTAAAGTAATAATCTTTCAGCTGGGCCAAGGAGAAAAAATTCAAAGGTGCATCTTGGGTCCATCTTTGGGTTTGTCAGCTCAGTTAGTGCCTCTCTTTTTTCTATTACAAAATTTCAGGCATCCAGGTTTTGAAGAACTGAAATCTTAGTCACTTGGATTGTGTTAGTAATAGAATCATAGAATCCTAGGGTTGGAAGAGATCTCAGGAGGTCATTGAGTCCAGCCCCCTGCCCAAAGCAGGACTAATGCCAACTAAATCCTCCCAACTAGGACTCTGGCAAACTGGGACTTAAAAATCTCTACAGATGGAGATTCCACCACCTCCCTTGGCAACCCGTTCCAGTACTTCACTATAGTTTTCCCTAATAATCAACTTAGACCTCCCCCACTGTAACTTGAGACCATTGCTCCTTGTTCTGCCATTTGTCACTACTGAGAACAGCTTCTCTCTATCCTCTTTGGAACCTTCCTTCAGGAAGTTGAAGGCTGCTATCAAATCCTCCTTTTGCTCTTCTATTCTGCAGACTAAATAAGCCCAAATCCCTCAGCCTCTCCTCGTAGATCATGTGCTTCAGCCCCCTAATCACCTTGGTTGTCCTCTGCTGGATTCTTTACAATTCATCCACACCTGTTCTGTGGTGGGGGGCCCAGAACTGGATGTAATACTCCATATGTGGCCTCAGCAATACCAAATAAAGGGGAATAATAACCTCTCTAGATCTGCTGGAAATGCTCTTCCTAATGTAATAGAGGAGAAACATTGCAGCAGAGATGTATAATCAGTATCTCAAAAATGACGTATTCTGTCAATGAAGCTCACTCCCAGAATGGTCTTTTTTTTTTTTTACTCAATTTGGTGTTTTATTAAACATGTTTTTTTAAAAACCTATAATTTACCCTTTTTTCCTATAGACAGACTCAGACAACAAAAGTATAAAGATGATCTTTTCTCTCCTCCACAAATGAGATTTATTTCGTCATTACTGACAGATGTATACAGCAACAGCTCTGCCTCTGCTTCACAAACCTTTACAACTGCAAGGCATTTTCATTAACTTATGCCACACTAGAGGACATTGGTCAGCAACTTTCCTTTAGTAAAAATCACAATTTTCTTGTTTTAAAACAGAGGAAAAAAGAGAACCTAAGTTTTAATCCTTAAAAAAAAATCTCATAAATTGATGTAAGAATTGTTGTTAGCCTGTCTCTGTTGCCAGGTAGTAAATCAGGCATTCATCCTGTGATTAAATCTCTCTTTGGAATAGATGCAAGTCATGAAAAAGTACACATGGACATGAACGTTATGATACCTGCTGTTAAAAAAATAGTAATTGACAGGACTGTTTGACTTCCATATGGAGAGTGCTATCGAGCCTGCCTACGATGGTTACCAGAAAAGCCAGTGATTTTCCTCTTGTCTGAAAGGTCTTCCCCTTCTCCAGGATTCTTGTCATTTTCAGGGAGACCAACAGTAAACAGAATATTTAATTTTAAATTGGGCCAATAACATCTCCCTTACTTTAAATGGATCCAGACCACCCTATATGTCAGGTACTCAAAAACTATCATCTTTATTGCCTGCCCAAACTATTTGCCACTCATATATTAAATAGCAATCTGTGGTTGCTATTACTATGGGACCATGAAAGTCTTGAGATGCCATGCGGCAACTCCTGTAAGAAATGCAGAACTGAACGCCTAGCTTACAGGAAGTAGGGTGTGGAGTAAGTTAGCTTGAAATCACCTTTGTGCTCTCCAGACCTTGGTCTGTTCCCTGAGCTGAAGGGGCCTCCAGCATAATTTAGACCAACCTGGGGGCCTGTGTAGATTACAGTAGCCTTCCCAAGATGCCCTAGTACTGCAGCATCTACAGCCTTGTCATGTCCCATGTTGGCACACCAAGGATGGAAGTCATAGATTGTGTGCTTTAGTTCCTACTTCAAGGAAATCTTCCTCCAACTACATATGGGGCTGTGAAGGTCCCTGCACACCACTCTGGCCCTTTTACACATCATAAAGGGCCAGAGCAGGGGTGAGAATCACACTCATAATCTTTTAGAGGCTGTCTCATGGGCCTGATATCCCAACAAACCTGAACATCAAGCTAAAAGTTAGGTAGCTTAAGGTAATCCTAAAGAGCTATAAAATAGCCCTAGAGAGCACCACAGGGAAATACTTCTCTGATTAAAGAGCACAGTTAAGATTACCCTAAATGAGCATTAATTATGCTCTGATCAGAGTTGTAGAGATGTTTGGCCTGCTATTACCGTTGATGATTACTAAGTCACTCCTATAATATTTTCTAAAGCGAGGGACTTCACACTGGTGGTCTCAGATTAAGCACAAGTCTTTGTACACACTAGTTTCAGCTCACTCAACAATTTGGAGTCATGATATAATTGTCCTCACTCCTCTGAAGCTGTCAATGCATACAACTTCACTTTACTGTTGCATTACCAACAATGAAGGCAAAGTACATTTTGTAATGGATGATGTTAACGTGAAGGGGCGTGTTGCATTCCACCCGCAAATAAGTATAGGAGAAGAAGGTTGTAGCAATGGATACTGGAGTAAGGAGCCCTCAGGGGACAGGAATAATTAGCTTTTGCCATCTGGAGCCATAACAAGAGTCTGAAAATAAAGTCCGAATCCTTGCCAGCACTCCAAAGAGATACATACCTTTATTATGAGATGCTGGGGTGGTGAGGGGATGAAATAAAAAAAGAGATCACTAAGACATGATTTTACAGCTGAAACTCTGCATACAGCATCAGGTAAAAATGTATTCTCACTGCATTAGATCTTTCTTTTTTATATATTTCCAGGTTCTTATTCAGAAGCTGTAAGTTTGAAATTGAAAATGTTCCTTACAGGGAAGACTGTATGCAGAAATATTCTTGTACCAATATTTAGCGGTGTCGCATTGAGCTCTCTCTCTAAGACTTCTAACTCATACTTACTTTCCTCTGTATCATTCATGATTCCTTTGTGCTGGAGCCAGTTCTCCTTCAGACTGAATTGGTGGAAAAAGGCTTTATTCTAAGACAGAGTAAATAAATAAAAAAAGAACAATGAATGTATGTATTCCTGTCTTTACAAAGCAATAACTGCATGTAGAATGCTCTAGGTAAGTCTAGCCAAAATGTGTGTATAGGAAAACCACCCATCCATTCTTGGAAAAATAAAGTGGGAGTTGCCTTATTTAACAACGGTAAAGGTGGGGAATTCCGAAGAAGTTAGACATGTCTAGGCTAAGCAGTGAAAACATTGCAAGGGACTCTAATCATATTCACTGTTCATTTTCTAAATAGCAACTGTGAATTGGCCTAGTTAGCAATTTTTCTACTCTCTCATTTTCTGCTTTCTACATTTCCAAAATAACGTTTTAAGCTTATTACACACTTCAGCTTCAGTCCAGTGAATTTCACGAGCACAGCAATTCACTGCCATGCAGCTCTTATGCTGACATCCCCTTTTTTCATCTTTTCCTTCTAGTTAAATAGGCACAAATTCACATCTCTCTCTCTGTGTCCCTGTCACAGCACAACTCCCTTTTCTCTGACTGACTACTGGACACTTGTAGTCAATGTCTTTGCTAGATTTGTGTGTGTCAGTCTTCCTGAATTCAAACCTGTATCTATCCAGCCAGGAAGAGATATGCCGTTAGGCTCCTATTGGATTCTGACAACTCAAAACATGTTGTTAAAATGCTAATAATGTCACAGCCACCTTAGGCCAGCATGCACATCTGAAAACAGATCTGTGCTGGCAGGGAAAAATAAAAGCTTTTAGCAACCTCACAGGCTTAGACTCACTGATGTGTCCTGTCATGTTTTTTGCCAATAGTAATTTTTAATTAACAGGGGAAGCCAAGAGAGGGGAGGGGAGGTAGTGAGCAAGCAATCAATGTAAAAGTCAAGTGTGCATGCCCCATATTACCTTTCTGTGAGGTGAATATTCATCCACGGTGCTGAAACAAAAGGGATAATCTGAATTATTCATTCGATCAAAAAAATTAGAACTGGAATTGGCAGCCAGCCAAAAGTTTATAACATAATATAATCAGCAATAAAATTAGTGCAGAGTTCCTTCAGTGTGAGAGAAGGACACCCGGTTCCACCCAGGAAGAAGTTAGTATGTCATAGGATCAATCCTTAGCATACTGTACTAAAAGCCGTTGGGATAGATCCTAGCTTAAACTATGCAGTTTTACGTCGGTTCAGGTGTACGTTTACACAAAGTGGTTCCTGTCAAAACATCCGTTAACATTTTCAGTGCACACAGTGTAAGTGCAAATTGGTTCACTATGAACATTCACATTTTTATATGCCAATACAAGACAGACACAGACTAGTGATTAGATCAGGGAATTTGAATCAGGAATTCTGGGACCCATTTCTCTTGCTGACACTAAGGGACAAGTTCAAAGATTATATGTAAAGTTAAAACTCCTTAAAACTCAGGGCTTGTCTACATATGCAGCTATTTAGTAATAGCTATGCCTGAACAATTCCATGCGTGGACACACTTATTCTAGAACAGTTAAGCTAAATAAATGCAAGGCACTCTTGTTCTGGAATATGTGTCTCCACAACATGAAGTTATCAGTAACAGCTGTTCCCAAATAGTTCCACATGTAGACAAGCATGCAGGCTATCTCTGACCTCCTGACCCATTGAGCAATCTTACCCCATCACAGAATTATAGCAAACCCTGAGGGTACGTCTACACTACAGTGCTAATTCGAACTAAGCTAATTCGAACTAACGCATCTAGAACTAAAAACTAGTTCGAATTAGCGTTTTGGACGCAGGGGCGCATTTAAGGGCGGCTGAAACTGGTTCTGGCAGGGCATCAGGTCAGTAGATGTTTGTGTGGCTTCTGTCTGAGGCTATCTGAGGCTCGTGCTTAAAGGGCCCCCCCTGGACAGCCAGTTCTCAGCTTTTCCTGCTTGCTTGCCAACCTCGCCGAGGGACAGCAAAGCGTCGGTCTCTGTGCCCGTCTGTGTCGGTGCGTCCCTTTGGGGACGCCGCCGCAGGTGGCAACATGGAGCCAGAGCTCGCCCTGCACCTTCTGGTGCACTTTCTGGACTTGCCCCGCTGCATCTGGCGTCTGGACCCCAGCAGCGACTGGTGGGACCGCATCGTCCTGGAGCGCTGGGAAGACCGACAGTGGACCCAGAACTTCAGGATGAGGAGGGACAACTTCCTGGAGCTCTGCGAGTGGCTCGCCCCTGCTCTGCGCAGAAGGGACACTCGCATGAGGCCCGCCATCCCTCTCCAGAAGCGGGGGGCCATCGCCCTCTGGAAGCTCTCCACACCGGACAGCTACCGATCCGTCGGGAACCAGTTCGGCATGGGGAGATCCACCATCGGAGCGGTGCTCATGCAGGTATGGCACTCGTCGGCCACTGTGCCGGGGGGGAAGGGGGGCTGCAAGGAGGGGATGGGCCGCCCCAGGGACAAAGGGGGGCCGGAAGTAGGCGAAAGCTCCCAGCACCGGAGGGGTCGGTCTGTCCCGGCCGTACTACACGCCGCCGGGGGGTTGCTTCCGGGAGTGGGGCGCAGGGCACTGCCAGGGCACGAATGCTCCCAGCCACCCGGGCGCCCCACTGATTGGCGCTTTGCTGTGTCTCTCTACTTAATTGAAACATATCAATTCAAATGTCTTTTAAAACATAATTATAGAAAACAACAAACTTGCCATACTAGTTGCAAAATAGGGTTCAGTAAAGGTTTCATGGTATTGCAAAAAGTCCCATCCCCTCACAAACAATACCGAGACCTCTATTACATTTTCCACTGCAGCCCTAGGACAGTCAGGCTGGAGCTGTCAGAGGGTGGGAGCCCTAGAGTTCAAAGTCACTGGAGAGTGGGAGAGCACGCTGGAGCTCTGAGCTGCTGCAGGCATTCCAGTGCTTTGTGCTGCGGTGAAGCTTTAACATCAGTGGATAGGAGAACCTTTTGTCTCTCCATTTTGTCAGTTATTTTTAGTAAAAGTCAGGGACAAGTCACAAGCTTCCATAAATTTCTGTTTATTGCCCGTGACCTACCTATGATTGTACTAAATACAACAGTGACAAATGGGCCATATTGTCCCACACTTCTCTATTCCGCAAACAGTCTCACTAAAATTAATGTGGGTAATTGTATAGTACCTTACTCTAGAATATGAGAAAAATTGGAATAGTCTGGTCTTTTTTAAAAGAAAAGATTACTTATGCAAGACAGCTGTTGCTTTCCTTGTATTGTAGTCATATTACTTATTCTTTTGTTTTTCTCTGTGCTAGAGAAAAATTTTAATAAAAAGTAAATTATAGTCACCAAAATGAGGGTTGACTAAAATAATCAATACTTACTGACGACGATGCATTCCAAGTATCTTTTGAAAGTCTTTTAATTCCTTCTCAAGTATGGGATATTCATATACATCATCTAACACATTTCTGTATATTGTCTGAAAAATAAAAAAGGTATCTGCACATATCTGATGACAAAGAAATATTATACATCGTATCAGCTACTTCCATCAAATCAAGCATAACCCTAATAAAATAAATTGCATAAATGTTTTAAAATGGGTTCTGTAATCTAGACTGTTCCTGTTTAAATAACCAAACTAGTCAGTGTCTGGCGGCTGTATAAATAAGCATGAAAACAGATCATACTATCATCACTCAATCAAAACAATGATAGCAATAATTATGAATCAATTGATTTTGACTACTGAAATTGGGAGTATTTTCATTTATTTTCTGCGTTTACACCCAAACATTTTCTAGTCCTAAAATCTCTCTCTCAGAAATGACAAGATGCTACTGGACTTCAATCAACAAATAAACCTTTTTTTTTTTTTTTTGCGCCATTTCCTAAATGTGATTATTCAGATCCTTCTGAGAACTTCAATTAATTTGGACCTTAGGTATAAAGATTAACATATTATAATGATTGAGACATTGAAGTCATTATACAGGTAAACCTTTTCTTTTTTGATCTTCTATTCCCATCCAGAGCTGTTGACATAGTTTTTCCTGGCTAACAAATGGAGACTATATTATCTGAAGGCCAAATGATCTGCCTAACTTTAGGAACTGTGAGCATAAATAAGTTTGGCCTGCAATTTCATATTAGAGATGTAAAATCCCATTTAATCAGCTAACCAGTTAAATGGGGGGAGAGGGGAGCCCACCTGGATCAGCCCCCAGCCCATGGGGATGCTGGCCCCGCAGGGAGCTGCTTGTTAGATGGTTCATACCCCTGTTCATATGCAATTTTTCAGATGCAATTTAGACCATTTGAATGTTAGCAGCAGAAGAGGTATTGTTATAGTGCCTCAAGCAGAGATTCGGGCCCAAATTGCCTGGCTCTGTAGACAAATACAGAACAAAGAGATAGCCTCTGCCTCTTTCAGACTTACAATACAATTATAAACCAACATTTAACACATTATAAATTCCTGTTGTGGGCATAGTTGGTGCCCCACTCCTAGCACTACTTTACACATGGAATGCCCCTGTAGCAGAAGCCCTGAAGCTTCTACTTCTATGTGCACTGCGCCAGGCCCAAGGAACTCAAATGGTAAAGAAGCCCAGAACTTTCTCTAAGATTAGTTTAGCACCGCAGGGTTCTTAAGTTTACCGCTAGTGAATCCATAACTGAAAGTGTTCCCAGCCAGATCCCCCAAAAGTGAGTTTTACTTCAGGAAAGGAGAAGGCGCTCAAGCAGTCTCCAGAAGTAGGGAATAGCTCTATCCCAACATAACATTACTATTTTAATGACAATCAAGTACAGTTGTATTTGGAAGTCACTGAGGCAGGAGAGTTGGAGCTTGTCTGAATGGTGAGTTAGTCCTTATTAGATGGATTGTTTTTGGCCAACAGGAGCGGAGAAATTTTGCTGAAGGGAGGGGCAGTGAATGAAGCCTCCTCCCTCCCTCACATACCCCCGCCCTCCCTATGCTGGGGCAGAGCCACATGGAGCAGCCTGCTCAGCACACAGGCAGGGAGTCTGTCTCAGGTTGCTGCAGAGCTGCTGGCTGGGAGCCACCTAGGTAAGAATCTCCCAGCCAGAGCCTGTCTCTGGTACTCTACCTGCTTATCTCCTCCCCAACTACCTGCCCCAGGCCACCCCTCAAATAGTCTCCCCACCTCCTCCAGGTCACAACTCTCTCTCAGACCCTGCACACCCCTGCTACATCCCTCCCCCAGGCCAGAATCCTTTTCTGCACCCATACCCCTACCTGATCCTGTATCCCATTCCCCTGTCACCACCCAAACCCTCTCCACCCTCTTTCCCCCAAGTTACAACTCCATCCCAGACCCTGCATCCCTTTTTTCACACCTCCCCAAGGCCAGAATCCTCTCTTGCATCCATAACCACTCCTGGACACTCCACCCCAAACTCCTGCCCCAGATCATAACCTCCTCCTTCACCCAAACTCCCTCTCAGACCCCACACTCCTTCCTGCTCCCCAGTCCTCTATCCCAAGCTCCCTTCTACACCCCACCCACCATCCCAGACCTCGCATCTCCTCCAGAGAAGTGCAGCCCTTGACCACTTACCAAAATCTTGGTGTGGCCCCTCATTAAAAATTATTGCCCACCCCTGGGTTAACAGGTACTTGTGAACTTTTAAGTGCACACCAACAGAGTCCGCATAGGCTACTTAATGCGCAACACACTAGTGTGCTCCTAAAGTTACACTTTGCTGATGTGGACAAATGCCTCATGCAGGCAAACCTAACAATCCTTGCTCACAAGTAAGGCAGAAATTTTGGACATGTCTATAGAAGGACTTACTGCATGTCAAAGTGGAATATAAACCTACTATGCCAAAGCATACCACATACTAATGGTCTGAGTGGGCCCTGCTGCTCATCTGCACTAGGGATGTTAAAGACTAGTCGACTAGTCTTATCGGATAGTCTGTCGACTAGTCTATTTCCCTGCCCCCCCTTACTGCCTCTATGAGATAGAGATATGAGATAGAGGCAGCAAAGGGTGTGGGAGGAAGGAGTACTTCAAACTGGATCAGCTGTGCGGTGGCTGTCCTTTTAAAACGCCACCTCTGGCAGTGTAGCATGGTGCCTGGGATCAGTGGGGGACTCTGAGTCCTCCGCTGACCCTGGGCTCCATAGCTTTGAAATGCACAAGAGCCCATACTGGGGACTCTTGTACATTTCAAAGCAGGCACACACGTGCAGCCTGGAGTCAGTGGGACTTCCCGGGAGGAGTTCCGCATTCCTCCTTTGAAATGTACAAGAGCCCCCCCACACACACACACTTCCCCCCTGCTCTTGCAGAAGTGCCTATCAACTAGTCAAGTACTCGATGGAAATTCCATCGACTACTGCATTTTAACATCCCTAATCGGCACTAAACATTCCTAGTGTGCACTGACGTATCTGTCATGCAATAAGTCCTTGTGTAGAGTGGTCCCTTCTTTCCCAAAAATGCATCAATTAGCTACCATATGAAATAATCAGTTGAAACTGAAAAATCACCAAGGCATTCAACCCCTTTTACGTAGAAGGTGACTTACTTATACTGCTTCCATCTATCTACAGAGAGAACTTATGCCCACATCACTGAACTAGTACAAAATATCTCAAAGGTAAGAAAAAATATGCCCAATACCTTTTTTGTTTGGGATTTTCAACACACATACCTGAGAATTTGTTATTTATAGCATATTATTGTGCATCAGTGATTATTACGGTACCTTTAAAAATTGCTTTAAATGTTCATCTTCATGTGACCAGTCTTTGTAGAGAGAAGTCCACTGAGATACCAGATGCAAGACTTTTCGTTTTCTACAGGGAACATCTGAATTTTCTTCCTTGCCTTGATCATTTTTAGCACAATAGGTACAAAAGGTTAAGGAACAGAAGCATCATTAAACTTTAGAAATTAAAAGAGGAAAAAGAATTGTTAGATCACGTAATCCATTCCCCTGGTAGTGCAGTACTTTTCACTATACCAGGGGTGTCCAAACTTTTTTCAAAGAGGGCCAGATTTGAAGAAGTGAACATGCGTGAGGGCCGTCCCTGCACTCTCAGCCCCAAGGCGGAGGGCCCGCGGGGTCGGAGGCGGGCGGAGAGCGCAGGGCACGCCGGCCTCACGGCGGCCTGGGGGCAGGGCGAACCCGCAGCCGAGCGGGGAAGCGGGGCTGCGGACGTGCCCTACAGGGCAGGCTCTAGGACCGCGGAGGCCATGGGCGGCGGCGGCGCGGCCGGAAGCGGCGCGCTAGGCGCACCAGTTCAAAAGAGCGCCGGGGAGCCAGGAGAGGGGGAGGAAGCGGGGGCCGTATTAAACCGGAACACGGGCCGCAATTGGCCCGCGGGCCGGACTTTGGACATGCCTGCACTATACTGTTTCGTCTTAAGAATTTTATCCTCCAGCGTAGAGTGGGAAATTGAGAAGGGTTATCAAGTTTTACGAATGAAATACATTACAGAAATGTCAGCTGAGCTGCTATGCTACCTAAATATATTTCTCCTTTATAGACTGTGTACACAATTCTGTAAGAGGAAAACCAGTTTAAAAGGAATGACACAATATTGAGTCTCATATTTTTGGTGCAGCAGATGTAGATGCAAACATGATTTACTGTCAGAAGTGGGAGAAGGAATCATTCAATACAAACGTGATATTTTGGAGCATAGGAATTCTTTTTGTTCACAAATATATAATTGTGTGTCAGCTGAAATCACACATTTAAAAAAAAAAGTAAGAGGAATCAATTTCCACCATTTCTCCTACAGTCACAATGCAAGTAAATACAACAGGAGAAAATTGCCACATCACACAATCTACTTATTTCTGTGTCTCACCTATTTTTAATTTCCTCAAGTATAAAACAATCATTTCTTTGCATACTTCTGCACCTCATCTTATAAAAACTGAAACTTGACAAATAAGCTCATTTTATAGTAACAAGCTCAATAAAACAAATAGTCCACATCATTTGGAGGTAGGTTGAACTTTTTGTTGAAAAATGTTTTTCCCATCTTTGAAGTGGGATACAGAATATATTGTACCATATCCTTAAAAGATTGGTCATTGTAGGAAATACACCACTCATTTTCTCCTTAGCACATATTAAAATCTAAAAATTATATAAAGATATGAGTATTTTTAGAAGCTCTCTATATTAGAGGATGCGCAATCTGACTAAAAGTTAAATCTAATTTTGTAAGGATATTTTGTAAATATCAGCTTAAAGCAACTTATACTTTTTTTTAAATGCACTGGATTGATCTGTCCCATGGCTGCCAAGGGAGGGGGCAACTTTGATTTCCAGATGTGTTTCAAACATTATATTTTAAATTATATACATTGAAACTCTCTTAACCAGGATTCTCTGGTCCGGCACAGATGTTGCAGGAGCAGAGAGTCCCAGTGGAGGGGGCCAGTGGCACAG